GCAGACACAACATCTTTGTTGGTATGTGGTGCTGAGGATTGAACCCGGGCCGCACGCATGACAGGCGATCGCGCTACCGCTTGAGCCACATCCCCAGCCCAGCAATTTATTTTTCACAAGCAGAAGTTATTGTTTAAATTTGTCCTGGAGCTGGGCATGAGCCCCACCTGTAATCCCAGCAATTTGGGAGGCTGAAGTAGGAGGATTACAAACTTGAGGCCAGCCTCAACAACTTAATGAGACCCTGTCTCAAAAAAAGGGCTGAGGATGGAGCTCAGTGATAAATTGCCACTGGGGTACGGCATGTACTATTCCCCCCTAAAAAATAAGACAATTTGTTGTAGGTACTTTAATAAATTAATGAAGAGAATTTGGCTAGTGAGTTAGAAAAAAATTGGGGGACTAGGGTATAGCTCAGTGGTAGAGTGTGTACTTAGCATATGGGAGGCCCTGAGTTCAGCCCTCAGTATCAGTACTACCACCTCCATTATCACCACCATCACCACCAACAACAAAAAAAAACTCAAAAAAAGGGAGGACATTTTCCACAATGGTCCTTCCCTGATTCTGGAATTTGGAAAGGAACAGAGGGTTAGTGGAGAGCTCTTCATTATTTTGGTCCATACTGAAGATGCTTTCCTTTTCCCTATCTGGCATTAAGCTATTTAATTCCATAATATTAGAACTAAGTACCCTGGTTTTTGCCCACTTTTACAGTCTGACTCTGATGTTACAATTCACAGTCTGTTACTTGCTGTGATCTTTAGAAGAGCTATCCCTTAGATCTGTCGTGTCCAGTACTGTAGGCACTAGACTACCTGTGGCTCTTAAACATTTGAAAGTGGCTAATGTTGTATGTGTGAAATATATAACAACAGATTTTTAGATTTAGTATGAAAAAATACACCTCAGTATCTAAAATATTGATTACATGGTGAAAAGATAATATGTTGGTTTGATTTAGATAAAATATATTATTACAATTAATTTCACCTATTTCTATTCCCTCCCACCCCCCAGCACTGGGGATTGAACCCATGGTTGCTCTACCACTGCGCTACATCCCYAGCCCTCTTCAATTTTTGAGACAGGGTCTCACGGAGTTGCTAAGGCTGGTTTCAAACTTGTGATCCTCCTGCATCAGCCTCTTGAGTCCCTGGGATTATAGGTGTGCACCACCACGCCTGGCAGAAGTGAATTCATTAAGACATTAGAAATGGTTTCAGATGTCTTTTTCTTCTGAAAAAAAATTCTTTTTTAAATGACTTACAAAGGATAGAATTTTATTTAACTAATTGTTCCTGAGGCTGGAAGTGTAAGAGCGTGGTGCTGGCTCCTGGTGAGGGCCTTCTTGCTATATCCCAACATGGGAGAGGGTATCACATGGCAAGACCAAATCCTACCATTCCTTGAAGATTTTGAAGGCAGTTTGTTAGGGGTTATTTTCAGTGTTGCAACAACCATGATTATAGGCACTCATAATATAATGTTCTTCTGGTAGGGGAATAGCTATAATTCCTTTGACTAACTATTGCTTTGTGTTTGACTAATTTTTGAAGTATCCTTTCCAAGGCACCTGTTTGTTTATATTTAGTTCTTAACATGTGACATTGATAGAAATGTTCAATTTTACAAATGAGAAAAAGATGACAGAAGTTTAGTGAATTAGCCAATAGGAACAAAGGGCTGGGTTCTCAGTCTCAAGCAATGGTACATGTATTAATGAGGTTTCAATCTCTTTGTCTTTATTTGTTCATCTCTTCTTTTATTCCATTGACGTTGATGAGTTCAAAATTACTCTGTATTATTTATTTATTTATACAGTGATGGGACTAAATTCA